CTGCTGTCTTGTAATTTGATAAGTAGCGAGGCTGTTTTCTTCTTGCTAACTTTTCCTAGATTATCAGATTTATTCTGCTGCTACTTTAGTATTTTCTTTTTCCTAACAAAAAATGGGGAAGGCAACCAGAGCACAGCATTTGATTTGAACAAGTGATTGTACACTCTCTTTGTCTGACAGTCATTTTGTTTTTACAAGGCTTTCTTTGCAAGACCATAGTGTATTATTCTTTTTATTATTATCATTTTCATCCAGCGTTTGGATTTATAATACATAGACACATCTATGAAAATTAAAATCATATTCCTTTGCAAAATGGGAAATCAGTTTTCAGCCCCTCTAGGGAACTTCATTTAATCTGTTGCATTACTTGTGATTGAAGCCTTCTTTAGCTCTTCACACTGCCGGTCCTATCCTTAAAGCAGGGCATATGATTATCCCTGAATTTTAGGCAATAATTGCCAAGGGGCATCTATGTGATATTATAGATGGTTTTAGGTAATGCCTTGCAATGATTGTGACAATTATATTTAAAGCAAGGGAGCAGGACTGGAAGTGGATAGGACTAGTAGGCTGGGTTCCTGGTCTTTTCCCAACCTGTTCCTCAGATAAAAAGGAATTACAAATTGCAGAAACATAATTGCATCCTTTAAGAGATGTGACGTTAGAAAGCAATTATAAAATGAATCATTACTCATATTCTTTAATTGCACAATATCTGTATGGAATCAATTCTTTGTGGTTTAAAGAAATATGCATATATTTTTGGGTGATAGGAAATGGACCAAATACTTAGTCCTTTGTAAATATTGTTGAAGGTTACCATCATGGGGAGCCTGCAGACATCTGCTGCTATATAACAGCATATAGTAGCAGCTGGTCATTGGTGTCCGGCTCAGAAGCAACAGTACATAAATAGTCCGAATATGGGAGATAACTGCCTTGGCACCCACAAGCCCAGCCTTCACCCTGTCCCGGTTCTTTCTTGTCCACTTTGCCTCATATAAAACAAATGAGTAACACAGAAATATGGAAGCTGACTTTTCTTCTGATCCAACAGCTATTGTGGGAACTGCAGTCCAAAAGACTTGGAGAGCATTAGCTTTTCTATCCATAACGTAACTGGGACTTCCTGTCAGAATATTCCCTTCCTGAAAACTCTTCTATTTATTTCACTTGCTTTGTTTTATGTTCATGATATCTCATCTGCTGTGTTTGAATTAGAGAGGGAGAGTGGAAGCTGCAAAAATAATAATGATGGGTTGCAGATCTCAATGGCAGCCTTTTCAGCAATATCTTGCAGTACTGTTCCATCCTTCTTTGTAATCTGGCCTTTGTGGCTTTGCCAAAGAGCCCTCAAACATTTTTGTCCAGACACCAAGGCTGTATAAGACTTCATTGTGGCAGTGTCATGCCCACAAAGTAGACAGGTTCATACCTTCTCAGATAGTACCAATTTCCCCAAGGTATTGGGAATAAATTAATGTTTTGATTACATTTATTATATGACTGTGTTAGGAGAACTTCTGAGACATATTCTTGGAGGACCATAGAACTCTACACAGGCCACTGCTTGAAAGCTAAGCATGCTTGGTGCTGCTCAATATTTAGACGGGAGACTGCCAAAGGGTATTAGCTCTGTAGCCTTTAAAGGGAAGTATCCTGTTAGAAAGCATTGGCTCCCATTCTGAACTGTTGCCAAAAAAAAGGCATAGTTGAGTCTATAGTTGAGTGAGTAGCAAGTCCTGAACTCAGCTTAAGGATGGCTTTATTTTTGTAGCTGAAATAATCTCTCTCTCTCTCTCTCTCTCTCTCTCACACACACACACACACACACACACACACCACAAACACACAGTGAATGGCTTTCCAAAACGTTACTCACATTTAATTTAATATTCTCCCCTTTCCCTGAAAAAAAAGAAACCTTTCCCCTAAGAATCAGTTGGATTTTTCCATGAGGAAACAGCTTCTGATTAGAATTCTCAGGATGTCTTTGAGGCAGAAAGTTTTCCTTGCTGTTTCCATCCCCACTTAGCAGTCTGTGCATCACCTCCAAGAGCATCTACAATTCTTCTGTCTGAATGGGGGCCATAAGGGCCAACAAGAAGCAGGGGGAAAAAATAATAAGCAATAAAATGAACATTTTTGTCCATTCAAAGCTGATGTTGCATACGTTCCAGATAGGGCGCACTATTTATAACTTATGTTATTACTTCAGTTTCTCTATTGTACCATTAAAATGTGTGGAGTACTATGACATATGCCTAATTCATTATGTGAGGGTAGGTTGAATTCTTCCCCAAATAGAAGTTCTGGACAAGATAGGCCATACAATTACATATATTTCCCTCTTTTGTTTCAGTGTCCCTGAATTGTTAGATTTATTTGCTAATAAAGAAGATTAAGTCATGTTTAATGACTGTTAATAAGCTGAATATAATGAAGGCCACAATGCTATTATTATCTAATGTAGATCTGGAACAGCCTTAATATTGCTTTTAATTAGCAAGCTTTGAATGTTAATTTTTCTCTGCAAGGAAAAAAGAAAAGAAAATGAAAAAAAAAAGCAGATGACATTTGATTCAATAAAATTATGCAACTAAAGCATGTATTTTTAACATTTTGTTTTGGAAACATTGTGGAGATATAATATTCAGGGTAGTTTCTAACCCAATTCACATTTGATGTCTCTTTTGTTATTATTTGATTTTACCTAGGATGCATTCACATACCTTTTCTATCCCAGGAAGATTTGACCTCAAGAATAAAAGTGATTGGCCCTTGCTTTCTTGAAAAACAAAGGCGGGAGGGCACAGCAACTGAGGATTGCCCAAGGGAGCATATGGTAGCTTGCTGTTTCCAAGGCCTTTCAATCTGGAGAGAAGTTAGAACTAGTGTGAGCACAAGACAAAAGCAGCTTAAATGGATAGATCATATGTACCATAGCATCAGTTTACTTCTCTTCTGTCATATTCTCATCATATGCTAAGAAATGTCCTTTTGGGTTCAGTTCTAAGTGGGAAAAAAGACACTGGAAACATGTAGGCCACTTGGAAAGATGGTTTTAATGGTGGACAGAACCACATGGTCTGAAGTCCTAGTGAAAAAGGTGACCACGTGCTTCAAGATGTTGGGTGAAGAAGAAAAAAGGGAAGAGATGCTGAAAGTCCCTGGTTTTAGGTTCTTTCTGGGCTTTGAACTTGAGCTTGTATTCTAATTGGTTGTCAGACTCCCATAGGGCCATGCAGGGGCAACTCTGTAGGCTGTATTTTGAGTCCAAGTTTGGTTGAGCATTGCTTCTTCCCAGATGCCATGTGGTGAGATGCATAGAGGGTTAATCCTACCTTTGTTATAAAGAGTAGACTGGCTCAGATCTTAATGACCCATTGACAAAGGTGGGAGCTATTAAGAGTGAGTCTGTTTCCTGCNTAGGATAGGATAGGATAGGATAGGATAGGATAAATCTTTATTATGGTCAAAGACCAGCAATAACCACACTTCCTAGGAATTTTATAAAAAGAAAATCCTGCTAGATCAACAACCCACTTTATCCAGCTTTCAGTGGCACAAAATGGTCGAACAGGTGCAACCAAGAAGTTCATAAGGAGAAGAATATCCTATACCCCAGTGTTCCCACCACTAATGTTTAATCTTTATTCTATAGGTAGCAAAAGGTCAACAGGATTGACAGTGACAGATTGATCGCTCATGACTTTCTCTTGTTTAAGAAGTCATTCACACTGACAGCCATTTTTTTCTGAATTTGGTTCATTTGTCACTGTCCTTTATAAGGACAGTGCTATTTTTTCCAGTTATGGAATTAAAATTAACCAGTTAAGATATAAATCCAAATTATTTTCGGTTTTTCTAAACATCCTACTTATTTGGCCATTGATTTCAATGGAAAGACAAGTAACTATTCTGCTTGGAACACTCACAGCATTTGAAAAAGGCAATGGGTATATTAAAGTTCCTAAGCAGTACAAATGACACCTGTTTTTCCCATGCAGAATATTCAAGTGGACCCAGGATGTATAGTAGAATAAAACACCTGTTCCCCATCATAGATTCCCAGATATTATCAGATTTAAATTAAATCACATGCACCCATTGAGGTGGGAAACAGTGGGATAATGATGAATGGCATCAAACAAATTTGTCCCTTCCATTGAAGCTTCTTATAACCAGAAGAAGAAAACAGCTGAAGGATAAAGGGATGCTCATTTTATTTTCATTTTTCTTTCTCTATTTGGCTAGGAATATGGATAATGGTGTAGAATACAGACAGAAAGATGAGAGAGTGATTTATCGTTTCCTATTGTTGTGTTTCAAGGGGTATTTCCTCCCCTTCCATTCAATCACCTCTGATTCTCTGAGATTGTTTAGACAAGTCCCCGCAGTTTTCCTGCCAAAGTTTTTCAGAAACGGTTTGCTATTGTCTCTTTCTTAGAACAGAAAGAAAGTAACTTGACCAAGATTACACAGCTGGCTTCATGCCTAAGGCAGAACTAGAACTCCCAGTCGGCTATTTTCTAGCCTGATGCCTTAACCATCGCACCAAACTGACAAAATAGTTGGTTATAAAATCCATCCACTTTGGGTAGGGAACAGTATAACTGAACATTCAGTTACTCACTGTTAAAAACAACTGCTGTGGGCTTTAGAATGTTAAGGAGACATGCTGTAGTCTCCTTTTGACAATTCACAGCTAAGATGCTAAACTTAGCATTAAATACAACATAATAATCATAGCTGTGCTTGTTGGACTTAAATGTGTGCTCTGATGAAAATAAATCTTCAAAGACGCTGTGAAGCTCCAGGTGACAGGGCTATCAGGATGAATTCTTTGAGGTGTGAAACACTTTCCCTGGGGCTAGGTGGGATGTTTTCCGCTTAGACAAATCAAAATATTTTTCAAAGAATTTTTATCCTGTCATATTACCAAACCTATTAACATATTTGCTTGTTCTTTTCATTCTCTCTCTCCCTTTCTGTAGTTCCTCCAGGATACTTTAGATGCCCTATTTAATATCATGATGGAACATTCTCATACTGATGCATATGACATTCTTGTCTTTGATGCTTTGGTAAGGATTACTGTATCAACTCTTTCAATCAAATAAGCTCTTTTCTAGCATTCTGCATTTTTTTAAAGAAACAAGTCACAAGAGAGAATGATGCCACCAAAGTGAGCATGATGGCTTCACTTCTCATCCATGCTATAATTAGCCTCCTTGCATTGAGGGTAAACTATCCAGGAAGCCTCACTTCATTATGTGCAACTAGAAACATCAGAGTTATCTATTTCAGGAGATGGTTACTAAATAAGTCCATATTGGAGTCTCATGTGTTTATATATTAATCATTTGTTAGATAGAATCTCACGTGTTCTCCATGGTCTAATTTTTTCCCATCTGAATCTGAAAAATCCACATCTTTGTTTCCAGCTTCTCCAAATATTTGGAATTTTGCAATGCAACTTTCCTCAATGTGCTTATTTTGCATACATTCCATAATATATTTTACAGAATGAAATAAATACATGCAATTTTCTTAGTAAGTTTAAACCTATATGTGTTTAAACTGCAAGTACTTCTTTATGACATATTTGAATGTTTGCTTCTCAAATAAAGGTTCAGTTTTGTACTGATCGTAGCAAGTCCATACACTTTTGTGTGAATTTTGGACTGGGAACTGAAAAAATGGCAGCATATTTAATTCATTGCAATATATAGCTTTTCCTATATCTGTGTTGGAAATTGCATTTATCCATTTCCTCTGCAGGCTGGGTGGACTTACTTTACATTCCTATCTATTGAGCCCCAACCAACATAAGTAGCTTTCCTTCTCACAATTTTCAGCTTGCTATGGTCCAAAATCAAGATGGCAGCCACAAGAGTGTAATCAAAGCTCCACCTGTTTTTTTATTCAGCAGAACTCACAGTCTCTTGTTTCTTTCTTCATTTCTTGCATGAAAATATCTGCACTTATCTTTTCCAAGTGCTTTGCCAAAGCAAGCAATCTGGAATAGGAAGAATTAATTAGACACTAAATTAATTAGACACTAAATTAATTAGACACTAAAATGTCACCAATATTCTGAATTCAGTGAAGTCCATAAAGAAGAATCCTCTCTACCCTCTTTCTTTAAAAAAACATTTCCAAGTGATATTTTACATATAAAGCTATTATTCTGTTACAGATTTATGTAATAGGACTCATTGCAGATAGAAAATTTCAGCATTTCAATACTGTACTGGAGGCTTACATACAGCAACATTTCAGTGCAACTTTAGCCTACAAGTAAGTATATAACAATCCTGATGGGGAACTCAATATGGGAAGCCACTAAATCACATTCTATCCTACTGTTTGATGCATGTAGAAGAGAAAGGAACAAGAGGATGGGTCTCACTTCTTCTATATTGATTGTCCATGAATTATTCTGATCCTGGCAAAAATATTCTCCGTGCAACAAAAAACTAGAAATGTATTTATAGTGGTCCTATGCAAATTGTTTGGCTCAATTAGTTCCCAACTCTATTCTGTACTTCTAACATAATATTATTCTGTGCAATAATTATGGCTGCCCTCCAGAATTATCTTGTATGAAAGATAGAAATAATAATGTTGAATAGTTGTGCTGTGGTTTTTTTTCCCTCAGGGGAAGTGTTTTAAACCCTGCATTTGAATTACAAAACAAAAAATAATCTGCCATGTTAGACAGCATGTAATATATATATTTGCCACTCAAACTACTTAGAAATCTAATTTGATAAAGATGGTTTTCCATTTGTGTAACACGTTCTCCTGATTTCAGGAAATTAATGGCAGTTCTGAAGACTTATTTGGATACTTCAAGCAGAGGAGAACAGTGTGAACCTATATTAAGAACGCTTAAAGCTCTGGAATATGTATTCAAGTTCATAGTTCGGTCAAGGACTTTGTTCTCTCAGTAAGTATTTGATTTACATTTCTTCTTAGGCATAACATCTCCACTCAGGTATAGCATAATTTTCTTCAATTTGATATGTCCCAGATAGTAATTCTTAAAGTTCCAACCTGCACATTTTGTTTTGCCAATTTTGGCTGTATGAAACTGATGGCCATGGTGGCTCAGAGGTTTGGGAATTTTAGATTTTAACACTTAGAAAGTACTGGGAGAGAATGATTTTCTGCTAACAGTTTGGCTAAGTATATTATCAACGAGAATGATAGGTATGTCAGGCTCTTGAGCAGGGCTGGTATGCTGGCAACTTTATGAACCCATTGATCATTTTTTCAATTTTTCAGTGTAGCATTGGAATTTTCTCATAGTCTCCTGTCCAAATCTAGCCTATTTTTTTTTAAAGATTAGCAGGTTAAGGATTATCATGCATGTGTACTAGGTGGCTGCTCTTCCGGTTTCCGGCTGTTTCAACACTCGGTGCTGAAAAGGTTGTCAACACTGCTCTAGGCTCGATGGTGAGATTCCTTGGCAGGAAGATCTACTGGGAATTAGCTGTTATACTGAAGACTCTGGCTTGTGCAGTCAGCTGGCTAGGTCTGAATAGAGATTGGGAACCTGGACAGAGTATAATACTAGAACAGCTAGAAATGTTATGAATGATATAGTAAACTTATATGTGCAAGGTCAGTGAGCTTCTATTTTCAAGCAGCTCCATAGGCAGATATGAGTTGGTTGTAGGTGTGATTGAAATATCACAAACCTCTTTCAGTCATGATCAGTTTGAAGCCTGTTGGAGGAACAATACAAAACAAATACATCTACTCATGCTGGTCTCTAGCACTCACTTATTAACCACTGTTTTTAGAGTTTCAGTATTCATGATGGAGATAGAAATCAACATGTGTTCAGGCGTTTTTGCTATAACCCCCTGAAACTGCATGGTAGTTTATGGCAGTTGTGATTTAACATCGTTGGAAGATACCAAATAGTTTGGTACTGTTATAGATTAATTAGTTAGAGAGCTTAGCATGTTGACTCAGAATTATGTCCCTCTGCATCCAATGATACTTGTGGCCAGGTTAGTGTCCAAATGTGCAATTTTTTACTCATTGAACTAATTTGGACCTATATTTTTGGATTGAATTGTTACAATAAATTGGAAGATCAAATTGATCTGGTTACAACATAAATTCAAAATGATAACTATTTTTACCTACTGACATACTTTCTACTTTGCTGCTTCTGACTTCCTCCCTTTCTAAGTGTTTTATAGAGAGATATTGTCCAATTAGCTGTGTGCACTGTGCAACCATGGATCCTCTGAAATAGATGTATAGATTCTAGTAAATTACTTTAAAATTGTGATCATTGAATTGCAATATGTTAGACCAGAAAAAAGGTGCAATTGCGTATTGAACTTGCTTTGTATTTGAAATGTATTTGGTGAGAAGCATTTCTTGATATGCTGCAAAATATACGTATTTTTCTTTCAAGATTCTGTCCAGTGCTCCGATATTTAAGATTTCTAAATCTTACATCGCTAGAAAAGTAGATGAATGTAAATGGCAAGGCAGAATGGTTCTTCTTATCAGAAAATAGTTCAAAGACCATGAATAAAGTACAGTTATTAGGGTATGAAATTTGTCGAGCAAGATCTCATATTGATTGGAATAGTTCTAATAAAACAAGATGTCTGGGAGACAGTCCATAAAGCAAGGCAAGCAGTTTGTTCAGGCAATGGGTACCATTTTGCAATATGATGTGATTGCATAGACAGCAAAAATAAAAATATTTTTAAATCACAAAATAGGCGCACATCTTGAAAGATCTCAATTCACCATGATCTGCCCACCCGCCCATCCGCCCATCCGCCCATCCACCCGTCCACCCGTCCATCCATCCATCCATCCATCCATCCATCCATCCATCCATCCATCTATCTTTCTATTTTTACTTAATGTTGGGATTCCATAGTGCCATCTTGGATGCTGCAGATATTAATTTATGGCCTTCTGATTTGTACTATTAGATAATGAAATCAAAGGCTCCACTTCTTTCCTTAAGCACATTATTTTGACTTACACCATACTGTAAACTGCTTCTGACAAGCTTCAGATCTTCAAATACCTTCAAATTCTCTCTTGATGTCAAATAAAAAAGCAAAGGGCAGCTTGCAATGTCGGCCATACAATTCTCTGATTCTGAGCCATATTAATATGAACTATTTCAGAGAACCAACCCAATTAAATGTTGAAGATGTTTTGAAATCTCTAAAGGGTGTACTATCCAGGATGAAGGTGCACTCAATATCTGATTGATTAAACAGACTAATTGGATAGATACTGCATTTACCAGGAAAAATAAATTCAGTTGTTTTATACTGGAAATACTTGCAAAAGAGCAAAGACAATTTCTAACCTATATAAAAATTTGGAAGCAATATAAGTAGACATTGAGATGGTACACCAAGAGCACCACACTAAGCAGCAATTTGCTGCCTGGATGGAAGTTTTCAATCCTTATTAAAATCCACAGAGGTCCTAATAACATTTGAAAAAGAGCAAGAGAGAAATTCAGCACACCATTTTAATACCGTATAGCAATCTCTCCTTACTATAATTGTGTTCCTCTGAATAAACACATTACAGTTGTCAATGGGCCCAGAGAGGAGAAAGGAGTCTGAGAATCCAATCAAATGTGCAATCAACTTGTATATTCATTTCAAGTCCTCGCCTTTGATTTGGGATCATGGAAGCCTTTAGATATATGCTTTGTACGTAATACTTTTAAAGCAGAGATTCTTTTTTTTTGAATGTGCACTTTTATAAATAAGTCCAATGAAGTTTAGCATATAAAGCACCTTCCAACTCTACAGTGGTGATTACTACTATGAAATCGCACAATTACGTTTTCTGTCTCTGAAGAGCTGTATTTAGAGTGAAGGTTTTTGATGGGAACCCTTTTAGCTAGGCTGGGAATTCTCCATTTAGACATATTTCCAACATATCCTTCCATTTCTTTTCTCCACCATAGTGCAAAAATCTTGAAATACCTTCTCTGGAGGTTTGCATTATAATTTCTGTTTATATGTCTTTTCTTGTGGTTCCCTCTCCCACTATCATAGTGTTTCATTGTTTTCTTTTTCTGTGTTCATTTTTTCTTCTCCTCCTGACGTATGCTTTCTGAGAAGGCAACTTTCATTACCGTGATTGCTTCATCTGAAAAAGTTAATTATCTGACTTCTCCTCACATAGGCTTGATTTTCAACATAGCAAATTTTCATTCATACCACACACACACACACACACACACACACACACACACACACACACA